GAATATACTCTTCTTTAACCACTTAGAGCATTATTTGTCAACAACTTAAGATATTATTTCTCTACACCCCCGAAGCGCATCACAAATGTTTCGAATCTGAACATTAGTTCTTCTTCGTTCCAACGCACTTATAAGATTAATACTTTCCATAGTGAAATTATAGAAGTATGTTCAAAAGGGTACGTCTTATTATTTATGTATTGATTTATCATCCACAAAACCTTGTCTTAGAAGATTCTGTGGAGCACGCTAAGCACACATTTCAAATTAATAGGTAACAGCAATAAAAACGTCGTATTTTTTCCATGTCTAACTAAAATACGACTGAAATTCTTTTAGATAGTCTTCCACGATGGCACCCTTCCCTTAAACAGAATAACCCTTGTACACTTCGGACACTAACAAAGGAAAAACAAAGCTCTCGACTTCCGTCACAATAATTCATCCAATCCAGAGGTTTATTTCATTTATCTTGCCAAGAGAACTAAGTCAGAATGGGAAACCTTTTAATGTTCTTAATAACTTCTTAATCTAAAGGCCAGTTTGCTTTTTAGATAAAGAAATACTCTCTTTCTAGGGTATTTAAAGACACAAGTTCCATCTTATATATATGCGGCTTAAGTGTTTGTCGCCGATAGTTTATTGGTTGCTTGCGTAACTGTAAATTGTTTTATTCCCCGTGCAGTGCAGCGCGTGACGAATATTATGAGACAGATAAGCCGGAAAAATTAAAAATACATGAGTATGTGCATTTAACATTTAATAAACAAATTTAACATCTATATATAATAGAATTCGGAAATATGCAACAGGCAACGATGAAAAAACAAATAAAATGAAATAAATAAATATCTTTATTATATGCGGCTTAAGTGTCTGTTTGTCGCCGATAGTTTATTGGTTGCTTGCGTAACTGTACTAGCTAATGGCGTGAAGTTGCCACGGCACAGGGTTGCCGTTTCAATTGAGACCTAGACAATTTCCTGTAAAACTTCCCTTTGCTATGACCATCAATAAGTCTCAGGGCCAAACGCTTAAGCGTGTTGGCATTTTTTTACCTGAGCTTGCATTTGGATTTGCACATTATGTTGGCTGTTCAAGAGTTCGTGAAAGAATGGACGTAAAATTAAAAATAATGGATGGTCCTGTGCAAGGCGAGCTTAAAAATGATGGAAAGATCTACATAAGAAATGTTGTGTACAAAGAGATCTTTGAAATGTGAATTAACGTTTCATTATTTAAATCACTTTTATTTATTGAGCTAGCGGTAGCTCTTAAGAAATGTACCGCCAGTGGTTTCCTTCATTGCACTCTACTTTAAGCAATTAAGCAAGTATAAGGGGGAAACCCCGTGGGGCAGTAAGCAAAGCGGCGTTTTCGCCGCTTACCCTAGGTGATTCAGTTTGAATTCGCAGACAGACACCTTTGCACGAATCATTTTAATTACAATTTATAATATCTAGAACAGGGGTCATTTCGTATGACCGCCGGGCTTTCTAGTAAGTACATTAACCAATCTTTTTTAATTTATACATTAACGTCCTTCCTTCTTGAACGTTTTGGCATATCACCGGAAAATATGCTGATGATACAGTCGTTTTAACCAAGCCGTTGAATCTTCTACATACTGTCGATAAATGGCAAATTGGACTGAATATTATATCAGAGTAGTGCATTTATAGAAAGTCAACTCAAATATTAAAAAACGCTATTTTTTGCTTTCCAGGAGATCCAACAAGAAATGAATGAGTTCATTTAGTTTTTAAAAGAAAAGGAAACTTAAGTAAATAAATAAATAAATAAATAAAATAAAATAAAAAAATAAATAAATAAATAGTATAGTGTATCTTGAAGTTATTCTAGATACGACTGTGAGTTTCTTACTACATATGGAATAAGCTCTGGAAAAGGCAGATAAAGCGCATAGGATACTTTTATAGTTCTAATAAGCTACAGAACCTAAACTGGACGGTGAAATTAAACATCGACTTTATTCCAACTACTCTCCAACAAATTTCCATCTATGCAATTTTAATACAGGCTACAGTTATCAAAATGAAAAGGAAGAAACATTATATCCTTTACAAGTGTTGAATGGTTTATTGGGAGCTTTATAACAAATCATGACATAAGTATCGATCATATTCACAAGTGCATCCTTAGCAGAGCTTATAAGTTTTTCAAACATGCAAAGTACTCCAGTTATCAAAAAATTTCTAAATTCACGAAGTATATGACCCTACAGTGAGCATAAACTTCAAAAGGTCCGACATAAATAGATTACAAAACGGACCCGTGAAGGTTCCGTCTCTCGCGTCTCGTCCCGCGATCATTTACGTCAACTCGCATCTTTGTCAATAGCCCGAGTCTCGTTGTTTAGCGTGCGTTAAGTCATTTAGCCCTAGGGCAGTGAAATTATTACGAGAGAGTGCCCTTGGGTGATATATATATATATATATATATTAAACAGTTAAGAGTTTGTGAACTGCTTTCAGGTTGTAGACCATTTGAGTATATTTTGTCTCAAGCTATCCAAATAAACAATTAAGACACAATAACACGCCGAACAAATACTAATTCAGAAGTCAAACAACAAAAATCAGCGTTATATTTTCAAATTTTCACAGGACTAGTTTCGATGGTTTTACCGAACGACCATCCTCAGCTGCAAATGCCTAAATGAACGAGATAGGATATAATGATTAGATAAGATAAGAAAGCTTGGACAAGAATAAGCAAGTGGTGTCATCACTAAAACATAATTTCTTTAAAGGCCGAAGGCAAAGATGGATTGAAATTACGATCGTTAACTAGAACGGAAAGATTTTTTTTGAATGTGAAATGTCTCTAGAAAATCCAGTCCTCCAAGGGAAGATGTTTTTTGAATAATTTTGGCAGCAGAAAAATTGAAAGTGTGATTTTCGGACCAACAAATGTTGGGCAACAGAAGACTTCTGTGTTTCCTTTTTTCTAACATATGCCTCATGTTCCTTGACGCGAAATTTTAAGGCTCTCTTAGTTTGGCCAATGTAAATTAAACCACACCGGCAAGGAATTCTATAAATATCCCAGGAATTCATATCCGGAATCGGATCCTTGAGTATGGAACTCGGAATTTTATTGATGGGAGAATAAACGACCCGAAAGTTAGATTTCTGCAAAATATGTGCAACTCTATAGCTAATTGATGGAAAGAAGGGAATGACAACAGAATTTTTATAGTCTCCTAAAATAAGAGTGTGCCTTTTAGTGTGTTGAGATGAGAATTTTTAACTGCTTGATTAATAATGTTGGGTGAAAAGCCCCTGTCAATAGCTATTGCTTTTAAATAATTTAGTTCTTCATCAAGGGCTAGTTTGGAGGAGCAAACTTGAAGAGCACGGAAAACATAGGAATAAAATGAAGCTAACTTTTGTTTAGTCGGACATGATTTAAAGTGTGGTGGAAGGCAAACCGATGAAGGTTTACGGTAAACCGTAGTACTGAAGTTGGCTGTGTTACGTGTGACCAGAATGTCGAGAAACGCAAGAGAATTGCAAGTCTCAAGTTCAAAAGTGAACTGAATAGCAGGATCAATAGAATTCATTGTTGAAAGAACTTTATTTAAATCATCTTTATTACCTTCAAACAGGGTAAAAGTATCGTCTACGTAGCGGAACCATACCGGGAAGTTTCAAACAATTTTGATTCATAATAATGCATGTAGATATCAGCCAGGATGGGACTGAGGGGGCTTCTCATGGGTAACCCTCAGTTTGCTTGTAATATTTATTTTGGAAAACAAAATATGTTTGTTTCAAACAGAGTTGAGTGAGAGAAATTAGCTCATCAATTTCGATGCAAGAAAAATGAAATTCGCGAAGTCTGGTTTCTAAACATCTTAATGCAGCCTCCACTGGAACATTGGTGAATAATGATTTTACATTAATGGATTTTTAGTTCTCGATACTCAGTTGCTGTAAGTTTATATTTTTATATAGTTTACAACTCACCTTCACTCTTAGACTGATCTTACTCTCTATAGCCTAAGAATGAATCACGAACAGAAGAGAAGATACAGCATGATAACTTCAGTATTAAGTCAATCGAAAAGGGTTACGAATCCCTCATCGGGGCTGCTTTAGCGAACTTTCTTTTTCACATCCAATTACAGTAATTTTCCGTAAGAAGACTGCCAAATACGTTATTGATATGCAATACTGAATTACACAAAAACGCAACATGTAACATATCTACTTTAATTGCTCCTCATAGTTGAGCATTTGCTACGGGAAAATTAAACATAACATATTTTAAACGTAAAATTTAATAAGACCGCTAACAAATGTAGTTTGATCCACGTTCAGATTCTGGCGAACGGATTGGCACAATGGCCAATTTCGTAGATTCGCCCAGGTGTAACGCGTAGACGAGCCAGTTTAACACAGAAGAGCATTTATCAATTTGCGGTAAGAGAACCACAAACAAAACTTTTTTCAAATTAAAAACAAAACTTTTACTGTAAATTTTGTGTATAAATCAATACATATATATTAGCTTTTGGTGTGCCACGAAATTCCAGAAAGATTTTTTGTGCGTCGCAGGTGAGAAAAGGTTGCAGAGCACTGCTATAAGCTATTCCTCCCCTGCCTTTTAACATGCCTTCGTGGTGTAGTGGTCAGCACGCTCAACACGTATTCGAGAGGTCCGTTGTTCGACTCCCGGCGAGGCCATGGTTCATTTTTCACCTCTCCTGCTTTTATATATATATATATATATCAAGCTAGGTAGTAATTACAATACTGAATGACCAATTTGGTCTAGAAAACATCTTGCGCAATATGCTGCAAATATATATATAAACACCCCACTATTGACTGTACAGTGGCGCCTGAACTAAAAGGTAAAAGGTAGTGAATGATGATTCTTCATCACCAGTATTTGGCGATCGGGTCCCCTAAAATCCCAATCGCCCTTTGAAAGGGGAAGTATATAAGGTATTTCTCTCGCCTTCTTAGCATGCCTTCGTGGTGTAGTGGTCAGCACGCTCGGCGCATATTCGAGAGGCCCATGGTTCGAGTCCTGGCGAGGGCATTTCGCATTTTTCATCTCTCCTGCTTCGAAATAACCTAATGTCTCTGCAAGCCTTTCTCCTTGTTTATGACTTTGATGCCATAATTTTTTTTAAATGTTTAATCCGGCCTGTATGTTTTCAAATTTTTACGTTTTTAGTTTTTCATGTACTGGATTGCTTATATTTGTACATTTTGTTTTTTAGACTCGGTCTGCTCAAGATAATATTTTTATTTGTTTTAATTTGTTTATGATTATGATGCTATATTTTCACAATTTTTACTTCGACAATAAAGACATATTATTTTGATTGTTTTTCTGAGATTAAGTTTTAAAATTGGAATTTAAGTGAAATATTATATTACGCGATCACTTACAGATCATCAATATATATTTACAGCACTTATTCCGTCAAATAGAAGTATGCGAATTCAAAATTTAATCAGCAATTGAATTTTATATACATTTCCAGAGAGGTAAGTCCTGCCTATTTGGGGACAACAGTAGAAATACAGTTCCCACTGCTCTTATGCAGATTAGCCTAGGGTCGTCAAGATACACATATTTACAAGAGTGCCCCATACCCTTTACGAAGATGAACTTTTAATTAATCTGTTACATTATGCAAAAGCCCACTAAAGCTATTTTGCTAATGGAAGAGATGCTCTCGTGGAGACTTTCTAAGGGAAATTGGCTGGTATAAACATTGCACATAGGGCAACACGAAAATGTCCAGCCCGTTCGCCAGAATTTGAAGCTGGGAACTAATAACAATGTTCGACAGTCTCTCCCCATTTGGTCGCTTATAGACACGAATTTTTAATTTAATAAACTGGAATCTTTATGATCAAGTAAAATTTTTGTTTGCTTTATACGTCAAGCGTAACAAATTAAAACTTGCTTGCATAAAAGTATCTCGGCGTAAGACACCTATAAGAAGGTCGTTTATTTAAGCTAAATCTGATCTTCATAAATATGACGACGTCATCTTTATGCCGGGACCCTTAAAGAAAAGCATCCGTCTCTTACTTAGAAACTAAAAATATTTTGTCTAATATTTGGCCCTCTATAAGACCAACATCCAATTGAACTTTGTGCAATTCAAAATTTATCCAGGTTAACACTGCGCAGAAACAAATGATAATTAAACTTCCGAGTAAAAAATCAAAGTCTGTCAACGCAGATTAGAATTTCTAATGTTAGAAAGCCTACGTATTACTCTTTCTGTTTTGACTTTTTACTTCCTTGTAAGAAGTAAAAAAGAAGTATTGTAATCGCGAAAAGTTTCAGGCAGCATATTTTAACGAAAATATCCATTTTGACCGCTATCGAATGCAATTTAACGATGTTTTTGCGTGATATCTGTAGGTAAGGACAGAATACAACACTCTTTTCCTTCAAAAAAATTATAAAACTGCTTTAAAATTAATTCTGAAGAGAATTTTCGTGGCGTCTGTACGAACGTATGTGCGTACGTATCTCGCATAACTCAAAAACGAGTAGCCTCAGAACGTTGAAATTTTGTATATAGGACTGCTATAACATGTAGATGTGCACCTCGTATTTTGGTTGTAATCGGCCGCACCAAGCGTATATAAATATATTTATATACATATCCACTCTGTTACCCGGCTCTGTGATCTCAGTTTCTTTACTCTTATATGTTTGTAAATTGTACATTTTTTGCTTTAAAAATGATTGTATTATGTTGTTTTTATCTTTCGGTTAAGGTTTTTATGCTTTTAGTAAATCTGTATGCAATATTTTGAGAATTATCAACAATTTTAAAGTTGTCTAAGTGCCACTAAGCCTTTTTTATATGGCGGCCATTGATGTTGACATTTGAAACAGAAACTAGTGGATTTGTTGCCAATCTAGAGAAACTTAGCTTCGCAACAACAAAGATAACGCATTCATTTATTATTGCCAATTAAATCATGCTTAATTCTTTCTGGAATTTTTTGAGGAAATAAGTGTTTAAGATTTACTTCGTAATTTTTAATACAGATATTTTGAGTTTCTATGCATTTTTGCCTTCTCGCGAAGTGATAACTGAATTAATTGAATGAGAAATACTGAATCGTCTGTGAAAAACTGTTTCTTTTTTGTTTTTTTTGTGCTTAATTTCTCTTATACATCATTCTAGCTTTATTATAGTATTTGAATAGAACATGTGGCAACGTTTAGATAATTCTATTCTTTAAATGATATAAATTTTGTGCATTATGAGTTATAATATGAACGAAATATATAAGTTAACTGTTATATAATTATTGGATTATATAACAATTAACTTAGTTTCCGTTATATAATTATTATATAAGTTAACTGTCATATAATTATTAATACTGTTAAATGAATCTAGCGCCAGAGTGTCGCTATGGTAAACAAATACTAGAGTGAATTTTAAAGAATGCATTTATTCTATTGCGGTTTATGCGCTGTCGGCGAAGTATATTTAATTGAATCCAATAAGTTTAAATGAAATGCAAGAAAAAATGCGTATAATTTAATATTCCGTACAAGGAAGTCATGTGGTGTACACATCAGATTTTTTATATTTTAGAGTTCTACTCTTATCTGTTGAACAAATAGGAGCCCGTAGCTTACGAAGACGAGAGTTCAATATAGCATGCAAATTACACCGTCCTTAAGAGACACTGCACTTTCGAATTTACTACCACCGGGAGTCCATGACACAAAAGTAATTATGTTACTCTTCTCAAATTTAATAAAGCTCTCAAAACAAGACCGAGAACGAAGGCAACGCAGCCACTGTAGCGACAAAATTGCATTTCCGCAGAGAAGAGTCATCAGGCGCTTCAATTTTCCACGGTTTACTTTCAAGACATGATTACTGCCATAAGCCACGTTTAACACTTGAAAGAATTGCTTGTGCTTTCATTAGAGCGTATAATGCTTCTCGATTAAATGAAATGACGGCGGAAAGTTGTTGCTGATGCACAATCTTTCATTTATTATCACAGAAATAATATCGAGATAGCTCTTAAGTCATTTAAAATGAAAGTACTTCTTAATGATAATTACATATATATATATTTTTAATTGAAAAGAATGATTACATATCTGTGTTTACACTTCCAAAGACGAATTTGGAATTTGGACAAATTTGGAAGAAAGGAAACATTGGAAAATTAACCTAAACCTTTTGCCCAAAGTCTGAATCGGGAGCTTTAAGTAATTTGACGGTTTTTCTCAAACCAATAAATACCCCATACTAGTAAATATGAACCAGTTTACCCTAGAAAGTCCTCCAAAAAGACAATTCTCCCCTCAGCAAGATAGCTCTAATGCGCTTTGCGATCATTCAATCCGAGTAATGACCAGATCACTTAGCAGACTAGCAGAACAGGAGGGAATGTAAGAAAGGAACGATACATATGCGTGCCCGGCCAGAGTAGTAAGGAGTGACAACTAGGAACCCTCGGCTGTAGGATGATCGAAATCTCACCCATCTCCAAGAAATCGCTCATCCTATCCCCATGATAAGTTTTCCTGTTCTAAACATGCTAATAAAAACACTACTTTGTAAATAAACAAACAAACAAAAAAAACAAAAAAAAAAAAAAAATCACACTATTAAAATGCTTTTCAAGCTTACGCATCTAAGTTTTAGGAGCACTAGCATTTTGCAATAAGTATAAAATAAGCTCTTAATAAATAGCTTGAAACACCAATGATACAGGCACGGGGATATAATTTCAAAACAATCATTTTTCTGTGCTGCTTAAATATGGATGGATAATTTAAGTCATCAAGATATAACAATAAAAAATATAGTTTAAAAAAGTGATGATAATAAATGTAACTTTCCCCCCCCTTCCGCGGGGGAATCTTCCGACTAGTAAATAACCAGAAACAAAAATTTAAGAAAATAACAGACTGACTTTTTGATAAATAATAAATCTATAATTATTTTCTGTGCTTAATGAAAAAAAAAAAAAAATTTTCCGAATAGCACTGATTTATAATGGTAACATGAATTTCATAACCAATAACTTCATGACTTTCTTTAGATTCTTTGAAACATGTTTTAAGATTTTAGATTCAAATCAGCATTAATCAACGAATAATTTTGTTCAGGAAGAACACAAACATAGCCTTCAATCCATTGCTTATTTAAAAGCGCCGTTTTGCATGAAAACAAAACTGTCAAATAGCAGACGATAATTTATGCTTTCAAAAATATAGTTGCAGTTAGCCTTTAAATACTTACCTCAATATCTAACCCGTATTATCCAAAACTTGGTAAGAATTATGAAATACATTAAACAAAAAATACAAAATATAATTTTGTATCAGTAAGCTGAATTTTCGAAGTTATTTCCTAGTATTCTAAGCGAGAGAGAGATCGCTATTAAGGTCATTAATGCAAATAACTTCTTTCGTTATCTTATCTGTGATATACAGAGAAATGCACGATGTAATTCTAATGCAACAATATGAAAAAAGAAATCTTTACCTTGTTATAATTTAAGAAATTAATTATAATACTTCCTAGATTTTATTCATATTACATACACAGTTTCTGCACACTTTTCTTAAAATAAAGTTATCAGCTTCAATATTCCTCCTTACTTGCTTTGGGAACATTAAATGACCTGACTCGGAACAGGGAGCTTACTAAAGCTATGTTCAATAAATGTGGGAAGTAGACAAGATACACAGGAAGGGTATACGAAACCTTTTATTTTTCTCTCTTTACAATGATTTCCGGACTTCGGAATACAGAGACCAACCACTTGTGGTCTGAACGTAAGAATACAAAAATATTAACTAAATTCTAACTAAACTAACTTTGGATTAATAAACAAGTGTCTACTTGAAGATTGGCCGTATATTAACAGAAAGGCCGTATGTAGTACAGAGAACTGTTAACACTACGATACGTTTAAAATTATCAAGAGGATTAAACCTCTGGCCTTGAAGGCAACCAGCAACCGAGTAAAAACTGCTATGGCAAGCGGCCTGCTCCTAATCACTCCTTCCTCTCTCTTGCT